ACATAATTAATTTTTGATATATGAGTTGCCAATACCACTAGAAAAGATTAATTTAGCATTTTGTGCTTAAAAAATCGGATTTTAGCATTTTGGTGCAAAGGGAATCGATCCCCCCTGAGGGAACCGATTCCCCCTTTGAAGGGGAACCGATCCCCCCACAGGGGAATCAATACCCCCCTGGGGTTCTGTTAAAATCGGGCAGAACACCCCAAAATTCCCAAAACCCTTATATTTTCTTCAAACCGTTTCTCACCCTCCTCAAACACTCAAATCTCCTTTCTTGCCTCAAATCAACGATATCAATCGGAAATCACTTCAAATATCATCTCCTAAACTTGCAATCATCATTAAAATCGTGCAAACAACATCTAAATCCCCTCAATCTTCATCTTTCAAGGTAATTTTTCTAAAAACTCTCTATTTCATTGTTTTTGAACATAAGATTAGTTTTAATTAGTTCTAGGTTGAAATAGTGATCGGGCATTGATTGTTTAATGATTAGAAACTAGATGTTACAACTAATTTCATCAAAAACACAAGAATTTTTCAAATTTTTTTTTAAATTTTCGAAATAAAAAAAATGTTATTTTTCAAATTATTGTGTTTTGATTAAATTATGTTGTTGTTATGAAAACTATACATATATTGTTTCTTAAAACCATATTTTTCAAAAGTTTTTCAAAAACTTTGCCCATTAGGATTGATTTAGAGAATCTTGAAATATTGAGGACTCATTTGAGTTTTGGGATTAATTGAATTGCATACATTTGTTTTAAAATTGCAGTTTATTCTATCTATTCTGATTTCCTTCACCATGTCAAATCCTAAATGTCCTAGGTCTTCATCTAGTCGTTCTAGTCGTCAATCAAATCCTCCTCCTATTTCTCAAAATCCTATTCCAAATCTTGATCCTAACTTGACTATCCAAAATTCTTGTTTCAATCAACCAGGTCCTAAAGATTATCGTTATTGGTTTTACCAATATTTTGACTCGTATAAGATTAGGGAATAACGTATCCCATCTCTTCAAACTATGGTTGATATTAACTTTAAATATCTCCCTATCTTGCACGAATGGAAATTTGATAAACTTTTCGAACTTGAACCCATTGTCTATCATCAACTTGTTCGTATCTTCTACTGTAATGCCGTTTGTATCAAAAATCGTGACAAAACCAAAACCATAGGAGTGTGTTCCTACCTCCTAGGTCAATATTTCCATCTTGATCCGGATTACATAGCCAATGCCTTAGGATTGGACAATGAAGGTTTATCAAACGAAAAAAGTTTTAGGCTCACGATATAAACGGAATGATAGTGCAAGTGTTTTAGATCTCCATGAGCGTTTCCTTCATCTCATGATCACTTGGTGGTTTCGACCATCCGGGGGTCGATATTCAACTCTTAGAGCTTTAGATCTTTGGTGGTTGCACTGTTTTGAAAACAATATAAAAATAAACCTCTCCGAGATTATCTTTGCTGAAATTGTTGAAACCGTTAACCTAGTGCCAAATAAGAAACTCTGTTCTTCACTAGTTTACGGTTGTATCCTTAGTAATCTCTTTTCTAAAGCTGAACTCCGAGTTGGTCTAGATGCCTCATTTCCTCTTAAGAAACAAATCAATCTTCTTTCTTTAACAAGAGCGGGATGGGTCAAAAATAAGGAAACCGGTGCATGGGTTCGATCTTCTACTCCGGGAGCTAGTTCTTCACAAGCTCCACCCGAAGCTGACGAAGATCCCGAGTTTGAACAATTAATGAGGGATATTGATGAAGCTGAAGAAGAACCTGAACAACCCGAGGAGCACGCACAACAATCGACTCAAATGCCTCTATATTTTCAATCCTTTATGGAGACATTTGATTTCCGTTACGCTATAATGGATTCGCGCTTTTCCTCTATAGAGTCTCATTTATCCACAATGGGAGCTCAACAATTAGAGATTCTTCAGGAGATGCGTGCAAACAATGAAGCAACCAATGCTCGTATCAATGAACTCACACACGAGATGGCCGCTATGCGAGCCCGTTTTCCTCCTACCGATCCGGATGTTTGATTATGTGTTTAGTTTTAAGACTTTGAACTAAAAGAATATTGTTTCAACATTTTTGATATTTTGGATTGTTTGATTTTGTGGATTGTTGGATTTTGGATTTATGAATAGTGTGAACTTATATGTTTTATTCATTTTTGCATCATCATTAGCAATATGACCAATTTTGCCATATCACATTATTTATAAATATTGATTTATGAAACTAATGGCTAACCTCTCTGTTGATTGTGATCTTAGCAGCTTAAGCTTATAATTAATAAATCAATTGGCTAAATGATTTCAAAACCTTGTTTTACAATGTCTTTTTGATTTAACAAAAAGGGGGAGAAGAATAGGTGTTAAATGTTTTACATAATAAATTGAAGGTGTTAAATGTTTTACATAATAAATTGAAGAAGTGTTAAAGTAAGGGGGAGTAATTTCAAAACTTGATTTCAAAAATCTTAAAATTACTAAAATGTTTTGTTATATCAAAAAGGGGGAGATTATTGAAACATTTTGATATTTCGATATAACAAATTAAGTTAAATGGATTTTAAGATTTTCCAAATGATTTTCTAAGTATATTCGATATAACTATTCGAATATCAAAACATTACTCCAAATATTCAAAATCATTTTTAATCCTTACTTACGTGTAAAATTAAGTTTTAATCATAAAACAATTTCAAAATAATCTTACAAAGTATTTCGAACCAATTCAAAGCCAAAAATTACAGATTGCTCAGAGGGAACCGATTCCCCCCCATAGGAGGAACCGATTCCCCCCTAAACATTTTTGCTCCGAGAATTCCAGTATGCTCGGAGGGAACCGATTCCCCCCATAGGAGGAACCGATTCCCCCCTAAACATTTTTGCTCCGAGAATTCCAGTATGCTCGGAGGGAACCGATCCCCCCAAGGGGGTACTGATTCCCCCCTTGTACAACGGTCGAAATATTTGAATTTTACACTTAGGAACCGATTCCCTTCAAGGGGGAACCGATTCCCCCCACGCTCCAAGCTGTTTTATTAAATGTTTTCACACTAAAACGGCTATAATATCTTCTCTAATCATCCCCAACGTTCAGAAGTGATCCAAGGTGTATTTAAGCAAGCTTAGAAGCCATTGATCAAAAACAAGAAACATCAAGCAACTAGAATCAAGAGAGAATCAAAGAGAAAGCATCAAACCTCAAGTTTGAACATTTCAAGCCTATTTTCATTCAATATTCATTTTGCTTTCAAGAACACTTTTTGTGCTCAATTGTATTCATCTTTGAGTGTTCTTTTCTTTGTTCTAGAATTGTGCAAACATCTTACCTTGTGAGGTTTTCTTGTAAGTTTGCAAATTTGTAATCTTCTCTTTGGGAAAAAGAGTGTTCTCAAGAGTTGGGGTATACTCTTGAGGGAATTGTAAGGTTATCTCTTTGGCCTCAAAAGAAAGAACAAATTAGTGAATTTGTTGGAAAATCCTTAGTGTGGATAGCTAAGGTAGTGGACGTAGACTTTATTTGAGAAAGTCGAACCACTTTAAATCGCTGTGCAATTACTTTCAATTTTCTGCAAAAGCTTCCACAAAAATTTTAATTGCCAATTCACCCCCCTCTTGGCCGATTTCGTCAATCGATTAACTCAACAATAAGCCATCAAATTCAGATGTTTTTGTGGCAGTGTTATAAACTGCTGAGACAGTATGGGGAGTACAATGGTTCTTTTCTAGAATATTGGACAATCAAGATATATCTTCTGTTTAATTGAGTGAAAACTGCATGGCTATCATGTTAGACTTACCCATTACTTTTCAGTTAGTTTTGGGACTCCGGACTTGAGACGTACGAGAAACATTATACTTCTTAAAAAGGAAAGATAATCATTTGGTTCAAAAAGCAGGGACACTTGGATACTCTAATGATGATGCCATTTGATGGGTTTCTTTCAAGTTTTTGTAGATTGTTACTGTTGGAGTGCTTCTAAATTATTAGTGGCCGCTGACTTTGAAATTGCATTTTAAATTAGTTCTCATTCTTACATTCATTTTCTTTCATATTTTGGTTCTAGATAATATTTGATAATATTCTCAACCGTAAAATACCTTGGCCACGGGCACAAGAAGAAATAAACCTGGAAGCAAAAGATCTAATTGATGGGTAAGAAAACTATTTTGTTGATGTCATTGGCATTTCATGAGAATTGGATTCATCATTCATCTTGAAATAAATTACAATTGTAATGCAAAAAAGCAGTAGCCCAAGTGATTTCTTGTTACATTATTTGATGGACATAATTTTTTTGAGTTAAAGGAAATATTCTACGGAGCATTCATGGGTTGCAGAGTTAACTGTTCTGTATTTGCTTTATGACTTTGCTTAAGAGAGGTTTCAGTCCTATAGATTGAAAAATAAATCCATGTACTTTGTTGATTGTCTGTGTAATCTAATTATCTCCTCGTCAAAAAAGTTAAAAAACATTCTAGAACATCAAGCTATGTACATCTTACAGTGTTATCACATCTTCATATGTAAAGTATCCTGTGTATATAACACCATTAATGCTTGTTTTATATTAAAAAGAAAAAAAGATGTTGAGTGTTATTGGTCGTTGGCAAAATGATAGTGATATCCTTAACTTTAATATTTTCTCAATAAGATATACTCTGCTTTGAGATGTTTAATCAAGGTTTCTTCAGAATCACCTTTATCAAATTTAGGTATCCCAAGAAGAATCTTAGTTATTGTAATGCTCTTTTTTTTGTTTTAATATTTTTCTTGGTTCAAGTGCCTCAGTATGGAATTAAATTTTAATATGTACTCCATTTTCAGACTGTTGACTGAAGATCCTCATCAGACTTGGATCCAGAGGAGCATCCGAGGTGATATTTATTCTTAATACGAGTACAGCCTTTTGTTGTTGCATGTTCCTTTTCTTTATACTTCTGGGTGCACGCTTTTCTTAATTTTCTGTCTTAGATGTTTGATTAATGAACGATGAAATTTTTAACCAGGTGAAGCAGGATGTATTTTTCAAAGATATCAATTGGGACACACTTGCAAGGCAGAAGGTGAGCCATGTTATTGTTTCCTAGTGTCTTCCATTTACTCACCTTGCTTCCCACATTTTACAGGCTGCCTTTGTTCCCAGTTCAGTGAGTGCGCTTGATACTAGTTACTTTACAAGTTGTTACTCATGGAATACTTCAAATGAGCATGCATATCCTGGTAGTGAATTTGATGATTCAAGTGATGCTGACACCTTAAGTGGTAGTAGTAGTTGCCTGAGCAACCGCCAAGAGGAAATGGTATTTTAGCCCCAGAAATGTGCAATTTCTTAAGTGATGATTATGATTATCAATGATTTCTGTTTTTGACTTTCTTTGGTCTGTTGGCCACAAACTAAGCAGGGAGATGAATTTGGAGGTCTTGCTGAATTTGAGTCTGGTTCATCTGTCAATTATTCTTTCAGTAATTTCTCATTTAAGGTATTCTTTGACCTTGTAATTGCATCAGGTATTTCTTTCAGTTTGAATATAAGTGCATTAGTTTGCTTTTTACAAAAATAATTTACTCCCTCCTTTTTGGTCTTTTATTATACCAATCTTGCCTTCATCCATCCAAGTTGTGTATACATAAATATAAGAATACTTGATTTGCAGAACTCATGAAATTTTGTAAGCAACAACATATCCTTTTCTGCAACATTTCATTGTAGTAATGGTGTTGAATTGAAATTGCTCGATGATTTTTGTCAATGTTCGATTGGGACATATAGCTTGATGGTTATAGTAATTTGTTTGTTTTCTTGATCCTAACTGTGTTGATCGACGTGGTTTGGTAGAATCTGTCCCAGCTGGTATCAATTAACTATGACCTGCTTTCTAAAGGGTGGAAGGACGATCATCCAGCGAATTCTAATGCATAGTAAGATCCTCAATATCTTTGGGAGAGCTTGGGATATTTGTTTTGGACATTGATGTGTTGCTTGTATACCCTGTACATGTATCTTATTTCAATCTTGTTTTATATCATTTGTTTTAATAAACTATACTGTGGGTTGTGCAAATATATTATTAAGTAAATTGATGAGGTGTTTGTTCACCAATGTAGAGATAGAAGAAAACAAGATTTCACCCGACCCGACCCGAAATAAAAAATATTATTTTTTCTGACGTAGTTGCGAGCTTCTTAGACATGATGATGGCATCTTCTAAACTCTTTCTGCATGAATCCTTAGAGTTGCTGTTCACTATAATTTGTTTCATTTTACTAGTCAACAGCTTCGAGGAGTATCCGATTGATATGGCAGTTTCTTGCTTGTCCCCGGTCAACACCCATACTTTGATCCCAGCAGTTCTAAGTGACTCAATGGCTCCACGATACCCAGAACTGCAATGATAAGTGTTAAATATTTCATCAGCAACATCTGGTAAAACAAGATAAAAACACCTCAATGAGAAGACAACCTGAATAATGGCCAGCAAAGCATGAAAACTAGTCCAATTCTTATATGCACAAGCTTCCGATTCAGTTTCTGAACAGGAAAGAAAAAGGTCATGAAACTGTTAAAAGGAAATTCTGATAAGAAATTTCTCTATCTGATAGACAAGTTAACCTAGGAACAAACTGTATACTTGTAACATGTAAGCATCATTTCTAGATAGAATTGAACAGAAAAAGATGGTTTATTAAGGATAGCATTTGATTCATTTATCATGTGACATGCAAATTAGACGTAAATCAGTAATGTTATGAAAATGGTGCAGTCAGATGCGAAATGGGAGATGAGAAATTCGACTAATTTGAAATTGTTCGTACAACCATAAATGATGCTTGTGAACTCAAATCTCAAGTCTTAGCTGATATATATACATTCATTTTTATACAAGTATCTTTATTTTTTTAATATTAATTTCAAGCCTTCATTTTTGCTGATCTAACAATCTAAAAAAATTATAAAAATTAAAAAATTTACGTTATATCGATAAATTTTATTTCATATATATTATATTTTCATGTCTATTTCAAGGTAGTATTCTAGATTTATGATTACTTCTCTTAATAATATAGGAGGTAACTTGGGCGTGCTTGTTTGGATTCTTGGTACGTCTACATACTTTTTTTTATAGGAATAGGAGGTCGCATTAAAAACCTCCCTCATAGTTGGCTCTTGTGAAAGAGGCAACTAGCGGAAGGAGGAAAAGAGTACCTCGTTATATTAAAACCATGTTTACATAAGATTACAGCTTACTAAATAAACTGTCCGAAATAAAATACAAACCAAAACAACCATAAAGCTCAAACATCAACCAATACCCTCTTTAGCTAGCTTGTCAGCCTCCCAATTGCATGTCCTAGGAATCCATCTAACAATAATACCCCTAGCAGAAACTAAGGCCTCAATTTCCCCAACTAAAGTATTGAAAAAAGTAGGGGCAGAAAATGGCATCAAAATCCAGTCAATTGCTGTTTTACAATCTGTCTCAAGGATTAGTCTTCCCTTCAGAGCCCATTCGGAAGAAATGAATAGATCAATCCCTTGTTTAATAGCTTTTAGCTCAGCTAACATAGGAGGACCAGGTCCCACCGCAAAAGAAAAGGTATATAAAGTAGAACAATCTGAATCTTTCAAGACTCCTCTAATACCTCCCTGCAGCCCATCACCTCTTACCGCACCATCAACATTGAATTTAAAGAAATTCGAAGGAGGCGGAGACCAGTTAAGAACCTTCTCCTTATTGTAGGATTTTATAGGCAAATTGTCTGCAAGCGATGGATCCCCTACTAGTAGGTCAACTTGAATATTAACATGAGAAAATTTCGCTAAAAACCATTTAGCCAACCTAAACCTGGAAATGAAGAATAGGGATAAATTATCTAATGTCCAGTTTTCAAAAACCACTGCATTCCTAGCTTTCCAAATAGACCATAGAACAACACCTGAAATGAACTTCCAAATATTAGAACACTCCCTTAGATAAGACCAAGAGCAAAGAAATGAAGGAGGATCTTGGGGCATGACCGAAGAGATGTCCCAAAACCTTAAAAATCTATACCATAACTCCTCTGCAACTGAGCATGAAAAAAACAGATGACGAATTGATTCCTCATATTTGTGGCAAAAACGGCATAAAACATCTTCTAGATTGATCCCTCTTTTCTTCAATTCTACTCTAACCGCCAATTTCTGATGAGTAAACTGCCATAGAAATGTTTCCACTCGAGGAGGAGTTAATCCGGACCACACCCATTTCTTCCATTGAAAATGACCTCCAGTTCTGCTTGAGATAGTCATTCTACAGGATTTTACCGAGAACAAACCATCCCCTTTCCCCGACCACCCCAAAAAATCATCCACTGATTCATTCGGTGTTATGTTGTCAATCAAAAGCATTAAGGAAAGCCACTGATCCAATTCCCAGTCACAAAGATTTCTCCTTAGCTGAATGTTCCAAACCCAACCATTAGCTACAAATCCACCAAATTCAACCAATTTTCCCCTTTTGTTAGTCGACATAGCATATATTCTAGGAAATTGAATCTTAAGAGTAGATCCATTAACCCAAATATCATTCCAAAAATCAATTGACCTACCATTCCCCACTTGGATCTTCGAATTGGATCTCAAACAATCCCTAATCTCGTCCTTTTTCTCATAGTTACTCCGAATACCTCTCCACACCCATGAATCTTGAAGATAAACAACCTTGCCTATAGACAGAGAGTCCATACTGACATTATGAATACAACAAATCAATTTTTTCCATTGAGAGTCTTTGTCATTTGCATACATCCAAACCCATTTCCCTAGCAAAACTCTATTAATCATACTTAAGTCCAATACTCCTAAGCCTCCTTCTTCCAATGGTTGACAAACCATACTCCAATTCACCCAATGAACCCTCTTCTTGTCAGATTCTTCACCCCAAAGAAATCTTGCCAATACTGAGTTAATTTTCTGATTGACCTTAAACGGAATTTTGAAAATAGAGAGGTAAAAAATAGGTAAGGAGGACAATACCGATTTTATCAACACCAATCTTCCAGCCAATGATAAAGAAGCAGCTTTCCACCCTGCTAATCTGGTGAAAACTTTATGTAAAACTGGTTCCCACAATAACTCTGAATTTTTCTTTGTTCCTATCGGAAGACCTAGATAAGTCGTAGGAAAAGATCCCACTCCACAACCTGCTTCCAGTGCTAAATCTTTTAATCTGTCCTCTGCCACATTAACACTAAACAATTTACTCTTGGATAGATTAAGATGAAGCCCTGAAATTAAACTGAATACCCTCAATACTCTCTTTAAATTCAGAATTTGAGTTGAGGAATCTCTGCAAAATAAGATTAGGTCGTCTGCAAACTGTAGATAAGTCAACTTAAAAAGATTCTCTTCAATACTAATATTGAATCCTTCAAAAAGACCAAGGGTAGCAGCCTTACTCAACATTAAGTTCAATAGCTCACTAACAATATTAAACAGAAGAGGAGATAGACTACAACCTTGTCTCAGCCCTTTGCCCATCTGAAATTCTTGAGTAGGGGAACCATTAATTAGGACTGAAATTGAAGCAGAAGGAATACAATAATCAATCCAAGAAATCCATTTGTCTCCAAAACCCATTATCTTCAATAACCTCAAAATAATTGGCCATTCCACTGAGTCAAAGGCTCTGCGAAAATCTACTTTAAAAACAACTCCTTTCCTACCTTTTTTCCTCCAGTAATCTATAGATTCATTTGCCATAAAAGCGCAATTAATGAGCTGCCTCCCGGAATAAAGGCGAACTGCCTACCACAAATGCAGTCGAGTTTTCTTTAATCTCCCTCATAAACAAGAGAAGATAGAATGCATCAAAGTATCCCCTTGAGAAGTGAGAAGAGATGTATTCTAAAGTCCCTCCAATTGGCTATTTGTCACTTTTTTCGCCTAATTCAATCAAATTACCAAAGTGTGAATGAGTGATGAAATTCAAGGATATTAAGAATGATATATACTTGTTGAGCAACTCCAAGGGATCGAAGTCCACATTCAGCATATTTACCAATTATGGAGTGAACTTTGCTTGCAATATCTGATTTATTCGAGGCCAAGTTGAGTATCTGCAAGTTGAATACAAAGGAGCCAATAGCTTATGAGCTTCACACAATCTTAAATGATGCTATTATTATTGGCATAAAGTATACCTGCTCTGGTGCACCTTTGTTGACTCTATGCATCTTACCAGCTCCATCAATGTATGTAAGGGTTGTTCTCTTGTCGGTTGGATTAAAGGGACGGAAGTGAACCTCTGTGATTTCGGCTCGTACCTTTCGATTGTCAACAGAATAAACTCAATTCAATTCAACATATGCACGTATGGAGAATATAAGATATTGTAAGGAGACTGTGAGTGTCATCATAAAACTCCCATAACCATCATATAAAGGAAGAGTTGAAGTTGACAGTATTTTTCATTAAATAAGATGTTTTACCTCTTTAGGATCAGCCAACATTGCTACAATTGCAGTGTCTATAGCATCTTGATTCTCCAATCTCGAAATTATTGCCGCCATCAAAACAACCATATACTTATCGACGTTGTTGACAAAAACCTATGATGAAAAGAGTTACATTTTAAGTCTTGACATTGTAAATGGAAAGTTGATAGATCTCAAAGAGAGTTCTTTGAAGAATAAAATAAAGTGATCAAATCTCTCACCTCTATCAAAATTTTGTCAACTGTAAGCTTGTTAAGTGTCAATGTGCCTGTTTTATCACTGCAGAGCACATCCGTCCCTGCCATTTCCTCAATAATGTCATTCTCTTTGTTATGGCACCCTGCTGTGATAAGCGATGAGAGCCAATCGCCATAGTGACAGAAAGCACGGTCGGCATAACAATTGGGATACCACCGATAAGTATAACCGGCAAGTTATCGATACCAGTTCAATAAGCCCTAAGTTGAGGTCTGTATATAACAATGACTTCAATCAGCATCCCAATGGCAATGGAGCATATGCAGAAGTTACCAATTGAAGTTAAGACCTGAAATTAACTAGCAGTCAGTTCGTCGTTATCGCATAATCGGTGGCTCTATCATGCAGTTTGATTCACAATAAAGATTATTTGATTTCACAGAATTTGATCTTCCTCAGCATCTATTAGAATTTATTTTATTTGGATAGTAAGAGCTCTGCAAGATGAACCTTTTGAAAGTAGCCAACATGTGTTTTGTTTTCCACAAGATGTGTTGCCTTCCCAAAGAATGCACACCGGTCGCGATAACCACTGCTTCGATTTCACCTTGTTTGCAAGCTGAACCCGAGTAAACTCAGTCAGGGGGATTTTTAGTCAACGGGAGTGACTCTCCTGTAAGAGCTGACTGCAACCAACGAAAAAAAAAGAAATACATATTACTTAAACCATATATTATAGTTCCAAAATTACTAAAACCACTCCTACAATGACCTCTTCTATAGAATTATTTTGCACTTTGGTGTTAAGTAAATCTCTTATTCAAACTATTTAAAGTTGCATGAGCATCTAATTATGCTTTAAAAAGGCAAGAATGAAAGCAAAGCTTGGAACCTGATCGATTTTCAGAGGATCTCCTGGGAGTAAACGAGAATCGACAGGGATAATATCACCAAGTTTGATGCTGATAATATGTCCAGGAACCAACACCGAAGCATCCTCTTCGCTCCATTTTCCATCACGTAAAACCTTTGCTTTCAGAGCCAATCGAGCCATAAGTGCAGCAGCAACATTTCCAACATTGCTTTCCTCAATGAAATTGATTGTTGAGCTGCACCTGAGAAATTTTGGATGGTGTTATGAGCTTGCTACTTTAGAACATATGCAAATACTAACAAAATACAAACAAAGAATTTAATTATAACGAGGATATCAGTCATAAAATCAATTAATCAACCAAATAACTAGAATCTATATTGCTTAAGCATATGGTATATACAAAATTTCAGGTTGACCAAATTAATCAAACTTGATCTTTAAGGCACAAAGGTAACGAAAAGATAATTAGAGCACCTTAAACTAAAAAAAGGGTATATGAACCATGTCCTGTTCCCAAAAGAATCTCAGGCGCCAACTAGATGCATAATTATGATTATACAGGAAAATGAACATAAGCCAAGTCTTCGTCTATATATAACCTGAACAAACCCAAAACCTTTGCACTGCCCAGTCTCAAGGTCAAGTGGTAGTTGCACAAGCTCCACAGGTCCAAAAGGTTCAAAATTCAAATATCTGAGCTATCAACATAAGATACGAAAAGGGTCTGAGATGAAAATCATGCACCCTAAAATGATTAAACACTAGAACTAGGCAATATGAACATGGAAAATGTAAAAGAAATAACATACTAACATTTCAAAAACATCTATGGTACTCCTTCCATTTTTTTTTCTTTTAACAGGGAGTTAAAATCCAGTAAGCAATTTGAAAGAGGGTTTAGAGAACATCCAGTCGTATTACCTGTCTAAGCTGCATTTCTGTCATGTTAAAGTGTAAATTCCGTACATATACTTTTCTATCAACAGCTCCATTAGATCCAACGACACTGCCTGCGCTTGCAGCAGAAGTAGTGGACTGAACAAGGTTCTTTTCAGCCTCTGAAGGTTTAAGCATCACAGGTTGACCGAGAAGTAGTTGAGAAGACAATGCTATTGCCATTGGCACAGACATCACATCGTAAAACTCAATATACCTGCAATTTTATCAGCGCCTGTAGTTAGTTTCTCTGAATATACAAGAAAAATTGCGACCAAATTCTACAAAGAGAAGCGAGGAAAGGAAAAGGGTAGTGTAGAGAGCTGTGCTGTGTTTCTTTGGTTGAATCTGATGTCTCGTGCAATAAAAGGTTAGCTCAGCATAACAATATTGGAAAAGCAAAATAGACTTCATACACCGAGATAATCTAACAATGATAATCAAAAAACACAAAAGAAATTGAAAATGAGGTTAAAAGATTGGAATGTCTCAAATTCAAACAAAGGTAAAAGATGGGGAAGATAGCATATTTAGCTTAGGATTATACTCATGGAACAAAGATATGAGAATGAACCCAAAAACTACCAAAATCAAAGGTGAAAATGTAGAACAAAACTCAGTTAGGTTGCATGATTAGAACAAATTTTCCGCCACCTAAAACCAGATAGAAAAAAATAGAGAAAGTAAGATGAGATCGGGGGACAGCTTGAAATTTCTTCCTGAATCTTGTTCCATTCCTGAAAGAAGAAAAATAAAACAAGAAAAACGAAACTGGAAAGAATAGAAAAATGTTAGCTCCAATTCCTTCCATTCAATATTAGCTCCAATTCAAAGCCTGCATCAAAATCCAATAAAATTAAGCACAAAAATTAATTAGATTCCCAAAGACATCATAGTTAAACAAGCATTAGGTCAATACTTTATTAAACACAGAGATAAAGCAAAACAGATAGTGATTTCCAATCAATGAATCCAATAGAACCAATGCTATAATACCCAATGCTAAGAAACAGTCTCATTTGGGAAAACTGAGCAGCAAAAAACATGACAACACTGTCTCCAAAACCACAACAATAATACGAGACTGTAGCAAAAAACACTCTAGAGCTATGGCAAGTCTAAGAAGGAAAAGGCAATACCATATATAACTAATTAAGCAAAAAGATCTAGGTGTTTGTTTCCAAACTGCTGGCTTGAATGGGTGGAAACGAACCTAATCGACCCTCTTGCCATCAATTCCCTTATAGCCTTCCTCGCAAGTGATCCGTTAATCTGCAAGCCGGCAACAAAACAATGTTAAGACTCAGCTCAAATGGTAACGCTTAGAAACAGAGAGGAAAGCCATTGGAATCGGAGGAAGCGAAGGAAGATCCACAGAACAGAGCAGAGCAGAGAAATGTCCAAAAATAAAAATGCAAAGAGCACAGAACAAAAAAGATTTAAAGAGAATGAAGGCGATACATTACCATACTCAAAAGCACATAAAGCAAGCAAGACATGGAAGCAAATCTCTAAAATCGAAGAAATCCCACCTCTGGAACTGATGAGTAAGCAATTAAAATCCAAAGAATCGAAGGCTATGAAAGCAATTAAAAGGGGAGAAAGTAACGAGGCTGGCGAAATTTGTTTTGCATGTTTGAAGGAAATAATTGAATCAAAAACAAAGTAAAGAAAAGGACTGAAGGAGCATAATAAAAAGGATCTAAAAAAAGGGCGATTGAAACTTACAAAAAGAGAAGAACCAGAAACTGTGGTGGAAGAAATAATCTGGATCGGATGAGAGTAAGCAGACGAGTTATTTATAGAATCATTTATTTTGCCAACTAGTTTTTCTACATTCCCCACCATATTTTGCCAACTAATTATACAATTTTACATAAATCTGAGTGCATTTAACTAAACATCTTGCGAAGCATTCACCGTGGTTCAATCTTGCCCGCGTTCTAGGTCGGTACTATTCTAACCGTTAAACGACGAAAATAGTATAAATTCATTAAAAATTTGAAAAACGAAAGAAAAAGGACAGAATAACGTTGGTGTCAGGTGTTCCTCGGGTAGCCGTTTCCCCTTAGCTTCTCTCTCGAGCAATACTTTGATTCTCTTCCTTTCCTTTTCTTTCCTTTAACATTTAAATTCCTTGTTCATTCTACTTTCGAGAAAACCAAGTCATCATCTCATACCCCAAAGACTCTTTTCTAAAGAAAAATTCGAGATTGTTCATCATTGATACAATCGAAATGGGCTCATCTACGGGACAGAGCAGTGGAAACTATGATCTCTTTCGTTCAAGATCTTGTTGATCGGAGACTCGACTGTGGGCAAAAGTAATTTGCTCGTTAGCTTCATTTCAGCTGCTTCAGATGATTTAGCTCCCACCATTGGTTCAATTTTCTCTACTTTTTTAATAGTGTGTACATATATATTTTGTAGTTTTATTGAATTTTATTATGCATAATAATAAGTAAACGATTTTAGAACAATAAAAGCATAAAAACACTTCGAGTAGGAAAAGAATTTTAAGATTATGCAAGAGAACGTCAAATTGTAGAACTCCATATTTAGGGACAAATTAAAATTGATTAAGTGAAATTCATACTTCAATAGTTGAATTTGAAGGAATTCATATTTTCATTAACTTAACTGAAATTATATGTAAGTTCATGGACTCAATTGCATTTAATGATGTTAATCGAGGATTAAATTGAATAATTTTAAATTTAGGAAGCCAATTTACTATGATTGATGACTATAATGAACATAAGATGAAATGTCGGGTCAAACTCACAAATTTATGAAAGTGTAAAGTCATGCTCTATAATTATAATCGTAAAATGTTGATCCCGATTTTTAGATTAAAAGCTCGACCACAACCCATATAAAACCCTAAAAACCTTAAAAATCCTATAAATCCTATAAACCTTACAACCCAAAATCTTAAAGTCCTAAACCTTAAATATATCATAAGTCTTAAACCCTACAAAACCCTAGAAATTTTAGAAATCATAAGGTTTAGGGTTTAGGTTAGACCCAATCAGTTTTAAAGTGGGTATTTTTTTAGTTAAAAGCCGAACTTAAGGGACCAAGGAATGTTTTCTTTCTTTCCTCCTTTATCCTCCATATTCTTCTTCTTCACTAATAGCCTAGCAAATGTTGTAACTTTGTTGACTTTAATGGCAGGGCCTACAAGTACGAAAAAGGTGAAGAGATATGAATAAATATTATTATAAAAAAAAGAGAAAAAACAAACTGATTGATAATACCTAATGAGATCTTATTAGAAAATAAATAATATTTAAAATTAAATGAAGATTTTACTGTTGATTTAAAATAAAATTATAAGGTCAAAGCAAGAATTTTAAATTTTAACATGGTAAACGTGATTTTTTTTTAAAATCATGATTTTAGGATGTGATTATATTTTTTAATTACGAAGGGAACAATTATTGTTAAAAAAATTATGCACGAGCCATGTTATTTAAATAATTAAAAGAATAATTGTTATTTTTAGAGGTTTTAAACTCAAACACCAATAATGTGATTGAGAATAGATATTATTTTGTAATTATCTTAGTTTAATTAATAAATAGTTAAAACAATTATACTAAAAAATGATCATTACATTGCATAACTAAAAAAGTTTAGATATTTTTTTTGTCCTCCAGTTCCAAGGGTTCCCCTTGACTAATCTGGATCGACCCGAGTTGCACACATGGCTTTGATGAGTAAGTCTCCTAGCGGAGATTTTCTACATACACAAGGACTCGAAGTTGAAACCATGCTTAAGCGATATCAACCTGTTACCACTTGAACCAACCCTCGTTGGTAGATTTTTTTTCATACCATTTATATTCTATTATAAATTAAGGGTACATTTTGTAATGTTTTTGAAAAGCACTTTTAGCTAAAAAATTCTGTTTTAACAGTAAAATCAATGTCGAGCAAGTAAAAAAATAAAAAAAAATTATAGTGAAATGGTGGTTTCAAACTAACTGTAAAAGCTATGATTTCAAGCCTCTTCATTTTCTACTTTGCGTTTAGAAGCAAATTACAATTTTACCTTTACTAAAGCATGAGCTTCACTCAATTATGTATTTACATTTTATTTTCATAATTTAATAATAATATTTTAAAAAAATAAATTTATTGCTTTTAATAATTTATTTTAATTATTTAAAAATAAATAAAATTCATGATTTATATAATAAAATATTAATAGCGAGTTATATGAAATATATTTTTATTTTTATTATAATTATAATTATAATTTTTTTATATTTTTATTATAGTTTAAATTGATATAATTCTTATATATATATTTTTGATTTTATTATAGTTTAAATTGATATGATTCATATAAGTGTAAATATAATTTAAATTATATATTTTTAATTTACAATATAATGTCTATAATGTACATTTTATCTTTTCGAACTCACATTTTAACATCAATCTCAAACAATTAAATTTTAAATTGTATTTTTGTACAACATTTTAAAATTTTGTTTGTACAACACTTTCAAAAGTTACTTTTCAAAAATTATATCAAACTAGAAAAACTCATCTAGAAATAGAAAAACTTGCAAGTATATTACAGAGAAGAAATATAGAGGGAGAAGAGACTCCAACTGAAATCCCAGAATTTTCTTTTATATTTATATAATAAATTTAAGATTGTAAGGATTTTTATTTTTATATTATTAAAATAAAATCTTTAATTATTAAAATATAAAAATTATTATATAACATATTATTTTAATAATTTAAAATATGATAAATAATTATAAATGTATTATTATAAAATATATTATTTTGAAATATTAATATATTTGAGTAGATTTGGGTTGTGGTCGAGCTTTTAATATTAAAATCCGGATCAGGTCAAGGTGAAATAAATATTAAAATTTATCGGGACATGGAGGGATCAGATTTAAATAATACAATCTCGAGTCGGGGTGAAGGCGGCCAAAACCCGCCCTGCTCGTGCTCATCCCTAGAAATACCGTAGGTTTTTTTAATGTGATATTTTTATCACATTTTATGAGTTTAATTATAGAGCATGACTTTACACTTTAAAAAATTTGTGAGTTTGACCTGACATTTCATCTTCTGTTCATCATAGTCACCAATCATAGTAAATTGACTTCCTAAGTTTAAAATTATTCAATTTGATCATCAATTAACATCATTAAATGTAATTGTGTCCATGAACTTGCATATAATTTCAGTTAAGTTAATGAAAATACGAATTCCTTCAAATTCAACTATTGAAGTATGAATTTTACTTAATCAATTTTAATTTGTCCCTAAAACTTCTAACGTTAAAGTTCACGTGTGACATTTTTTATTTAGGAAGTGAAAATGTAAAGTCCCAAATTCTGAATTATTAGTTTTGGGCTAAGCTGAGAGGATTTTGAATAAACTCATTAGCCTTGTTAGAAACTTTGATTCATGTTTAAAATGGTGTGGGCTGTGGTTAGGCCTAATTAGATTTAAAGCGGGTATTTTTTGAGTTAAAAGTCAAACTTGCCAAGGAATGTTTTCTTTCCTTCCTCCTTTCTCCATCTTATTCTTATTCGCTAATAGCCTAGCGAAGGTTGTAACTTTGTTTACTTTAATTGCGGGGCCTACAAGTAACGGGACGAAAAAGATAAAGAGATATGAGTAAATATTATTAGAAAAATAAAGAGATAAAACAAACAGGGATATTATTAGAAAATAAAATAATATTTTAAATTAAATGAAGATTTTACTGTTGATTTAAAATAAAATTATAAGGTCAAAGCAAGAATTTTTAAATTTTAACATGGTAAACGTGATTTTAAAAAAAAAATCATGATTTTAGGATGTGGTTATTTTTTTTAATTACGAAGGGAACAGTTATGGTCCAAATATGGTCATCAAATAAGCTCATGAGAAAATCATCAACATTAAATGGAGGTAGTGGAGGGGGGTCATCAAATGGCGAAGATCATTCAGAAGGAGTAGTAGCCCTAAAATATGGTCCAAATGGAGCCAAAATATCGGTGGTGAACTCCAAGAAGTGTCGACGTAATATCTCATTATTAACAGACATAGATTCCTCAACTCTTGCTGACATCCCAGCATCAATAAACATATTCAAGATAGAAGTGTCTAGCTTGGTAGTCGCGACATAAGTGCTCCAAATGGCCTCCTTATGTTCAATCATGAGACAGAGAGGACCATCTCTCCTCAACTTCACAGCATTCAACAAAACTAGAAGGAGAGAACTTCTTCAAGGAGAGCTGTTGAAGACCAAACCCTTCTGGTTTACCAGGAATTCTTCCAGTGGACCTATTTGCAATGGTAATCCTACTTGAGCTCAGTGCACGGCTTCCAACTAACACAATGTGTGGGATATTGCGAAGAGCTTTAAGGAAAAATAGAATTGTGACACCCAAAACCATAGGTGGATATTTGTCCCCTTCTTGAAGTGCGTTCAATTGAGCAAATTCAGGATCATGGATGGTAAAATATGGCCTAAAATCAACACTATCATACCAACTCTATTATAGGTTTCTTTGCAGACAAGAAATCATGTGTTTGCCCGAGAATGTTCTTTCGCCTGAAGAAACTGGTTCTGAGTTCCAAAGAATGGAAATTGAAATGCAGCTTTTAAGCTTCCCTTTATGCAATGTATGGAGTTGAAGAATATGTCGTTGATTCTGCTGAAAACTTGTGGGATCTTCCAGCATTATGTTTACTGTTCTGCTAATATTATCTGGCTTTTGACCTACAGATGTAATGGTAAGAAAGTTGTTTTCTTCTAGTATGGTTTGATTTTGAAGTAAGCATGAAACGAGCATAAGCACAGATATAAATACCTCCATGCCGGTTATTGTTTAATTGATATCAAAATTCTGATGCGGTAGAATGTGGTATAAAAGCACATAAATAAATACCTCCGGTTACTACTTAAAAGATGCTATCCCATATTTATGTTCTGTCGTATGTAATAGAGACGGATATTCTTGAAAAAGGTATAGAGTTAGCACAAGAAGGAAGATGCTACTGTTTCAATTCAATTTTATGCCATATGATAAAGTAGAAGCTTTATTATACACTAAAAGGGGGCCACATTTCATAGGATGAAAAAGTATAAATTTGCATAAAAATGGTACAACTTCAATAGATGAAGTACATCGTCAAAACGGTCATCCATAGTTGGTTGTCTCCAACAAACCATTCCCGTGCAACAACAGTGATGCTACTATTGCCAGGTAAAGTAGCAAGATTGAGGCCAAAGTTATTAGCCAAACGTGTGGCTTTCAAGCCATTGCTTGACCGGGGACAAGCAAGAAACTGCCATATCAATCGGATACTCCTCGAAGCTGTTGACTAGTAAAATGAAACAAATTATAGTGAACAGCAACTCTAAGGATTCATGCAGAAAGAGTTTAGAAGATGCCATCATCATGTCTACGAAGCTCGCAACTACGTCAGGCACTACAAATGACACTGGGAGAACTTTGGGAGCTAGTTTAACACCTGTAGCATTGATTATTGATGGTACCAGCCTTGTTTATATTCTTGACTCTGAACTCGAAGAAATGGTAAGGAGTTCTTGACTTGCCTTTGTTTTCTGCTTTTAATTTCTAATATTTTGCATGCTGACGCGACTTTATTTTTCGTCCTTGCTTGCAGCTCTTCGAGTTAGCCTGTAATTGTTCTGTGGTTTTGTGTTGTCGAGTGGCCCCATTACAGAAAGCCGGAATTGTTGCCCTTGTAAAGAAGAGGACTTCAGACATGACACTTGCCATTGGCGATGGTAATCATCATTCTCTTGGTCTTTTATCATCATCTCATGATTATTAAAGAGAAAAAAGTGTAAACTTTTAGCTGCTTTCTTTTTTGTGGTTTGGGTTTATTTAAGAAATAATACCGGATGCTTCACAGGTGCTAATGATGTTTCAATGATCCAAATGGCGGATGTGGGGTTTGGCATTAGAGGCCAAGAGGGTAGGCAAGCTGTAATGGCATCAGATTTTGCAATGGGACAGTTCAGATTCATAGTTACTCTTTTGTTGGTCCATGGGCATTGGAATTACCAGCGGATGGGCTACATGATATTATACAATTTTTACAGGAATGCAGTGTTTGTACTTGTATTATTCTGGTGAGTTATTTTTTTAGATGGAGTGCTTGCACAAGTCTTTGCATGTGCACTGAATACAAATATTTAACCTACATTATTATGCGGTTGAGCATGCTTCTGGTATAACCAAACTTTGATTTTCACCAATAAGGCCAAGGTCTAATAAGTTGTTTCTGAGCTCCAGTAAGGTTTTTCATGTGTGTTCCCTGCGAGCTACACGCGAGGTTAAAGGGTGTTATCTTACCTTTGTTGAATACTGGGTTTTAGAGCTCTCCACCTATTGCTAATTAGTTTTAGGTTGTGAATTCTTCATAGAAATATTCTTCCTTCGCCCAATTGGGTTGTTGATTCAAAATCATAATTTACACTTAATTCAAATTAGAAGTTGATTCATACTTTGGTTAACTAAAGTGAAATATCAGCAGTGAATAGGCAGTTTTTAACTTCAGTATGTTCTTTTCAGGTATGTGCTTTTTACTTGTTTTACTTTGAGCACTGCAATCAATGAGTGGAGTAGTGTGTTGTATTCTGTAATCTACACATCGGTGCCTACGACTGTTGTTGGTATTCTTGACAAGGACCTAAATCGATGGACACTTTTGAAGCATCCTCAGATGTATGGGGCTGGGCACCGAGAAGAAAGCTATAACAAGAGACTCTTTTGGATAACAATGATTGATACCGTCTGGCAAAGTGCAGTTGTCTTTTTCATTCCTCTTCTCGCATACTGGAGCAGCACCATTGATGCATCATGTTATATTGGTTAATTTACACCTGGCCATGGATGTCATCGTTGGAATTGGATAACTCAATCGCAAGTGTTATTTGCGTCATCATTATCGATGCTATACCATCTTTAGTTGGTTACTGGTAAGCCCATTTATTTTCTGTAAGTTTAATTGAGCATGTAGATGACCCGTGTTGAAATAATTGTTTTTGACACAACAAATGTTCTGCAAAAATATATGTAATAGGGCATACATATAGAGGTAGAAAATAGGTGTCACGTGAGTTCAAGTTGGATCGATTTCGACTTCGAGTTATTTCAGGTTCAAACTATTTAGGGTTCGGGTTATTATTCACAGGCTTTTTACCATTAATTTCTACCATTTTCCAAGCTCATTGTTTCATCTTAAAAATGATTTTTTTGAATTATTATTTTCGCTATTATAATTTTATTTTTTTATATTTTAGTCTCGAAATTACAAAAAAAAAATAACTACCATCTATTTTGTCAAATTTGTTATCTATACATGCTTTATATATATATTTTCAACAATGTCATTTCTACCGTTAGTTAAATTATTAAATAATATTACTTTATAATTTTTTATTAAAACATTTTCTAAAAAAAATTATTTCCAAAATAAAATTTATCTCCGTCGCATAAGACAAAGGCGTGCTTACTTAGCAATTGCAATAAATTTCCAAGCAATTGCATGTGGTGGGCTTCAGCCAATGCTCAACTTCCAACCCCTAAACTCGGAGGACTTTTTCTCCTTTGCCTTGTTAAATTTCTTCATTCCCCGACTTTTGCAAGTCATTTTCTTCTTCTCTCTTGATAATGGATATTCCCAGTCAGCGCTTCAGGCCTCTTGTTCCTCTCTTAAAAATGTTTTTTTTGAATTATTATTTTCGCTATTGTAATTTTCTGACATTGATACGAGGATATTATCTTCCAAGAATGCTCCAAATACATAAAAGAAAAAACCGAATCTTCCAAGGAAAATGGTAGAAATTAATGGTAAAAAGCCTGTGAATAATCGATCCTACCGCTCTACCGAATCTTCCAAATATATTTTCTGACCCTTGCCAACTTATGTATTCTAACAGGGCCATCTTTCACACTGCAGGAACCGGATTGTTCTGGTTGTGTTTACTTTCCATCATTGTCGCCACATTAATACCTCGATTCGTCGTGAAAGTTCTTTATCAGTTTTACACACCTTGTGATGTTCAGATCGCACGAGAAGTGGAAAAGTTTCAGGCTCGGAGCGAGTCGGCAGCCATAGAAGTCGAAATGAATTCGATCTTGGATAATTCAAGGCCATAAGGTGATTTTGTTTGTATTTCATTTTTGTAAAGTATCATGTTCTATTGGCTTCTTCTGCAGAGTATATTAATCCTCGTTGTTTACTATCCGAAGGATAGAATTAGTGCACCTTAGGCTTGTATTTTACAATATAAAATGAATGTAAATTAACGTTGTTCATAGCTGAGAGAATCATACACACTCAAAAATTCAATGAATACAATTTGCCTTTTTGTTGTCCATTCACTATTGGTCTCTCACGGTGTTTAGATTTTGCTTTATTTCTGTTGGAACATTTTTAGAATATTTATAATGTTCCAATAGTTATAAGAATGTTATGAATGGAAAATTAATTCATTTAGTTATTAAAACTCGTATTTTTTAATTAATCAAGTTTATTCAGATAAATATCTCTTAAGAAGACAGTGGATTATTGCTTCTTATATTATTCATGTTCTTTCAACCAAGAATCTCCCATGGTCTTTGACTGTTTGCATAGATGTTCATGCCAAACAGACATGACATGGTAGCATCGACATATGCCTTCACCCATTTTTCCAAATTCAAATCAACGGCCTTGATTACTTTCAAAAACCTCTTTAACAAGAATCCTTTCTTGGAATTTTTCATGCTTCCAATTGTTGCGGAAGACGGCTATCGGATAGAGCAAAATCGCAACTAATAATTTGAGAAAATAAAAATGAAGATAAAAGATATAAAATTTACGTGGAAAACCCCTGAATAATATAGGGTAAAAACCACGGGCAACGGTAGAAGAATTTCACTATGAGAAAATAGGAATTACAACCTCTCGATTTACCAAGGAGAAAACAATGATAATTCTCTCTAGATAAAAATGAGAAAATAACTCTCAAGAAACTCTCTAAAATCTCTCTAGTATTGGAAGAAAGCTAGAAAGCTAGGGTATTTATAGTTGAAGCTTTAAGGACTAATTTGTAAATATCCTAAATTACAATGGCAAAAATTGAGGTTCTACCATTTCCAAAATTCAGCAATAGCTGCTGCCCCCTTTTTTCCAAGCAGCACCGAAAGTTGCATTTATTATGCACACTTTCGGTGCATAGTCAACAATCTCCCACTTGAAGATTTGATTGAAACAATCATATCTTCACACCATTCTTTCTACCTTGTACCATCATGTTGCTTACGTCTCTGACAGGCCACAAGAGGATCGACACCAAGTAAATTTATCGGTATTGATCGCCTTCGTCATGAAATCTGCTATGTTATCTTTGGTATGGATCTTCTGCATATCTATCATCCCTTCTTCCACCTTTTCACGAATGAAATAGTATTGAACTCGTATGTGTTTTGTCCTTGAATGAAATACTGGATTCCTTGCTAGATGCAATGCGCTTTGACTGTCACAAAACATAGAGACAAACTCTTGATTGTGCCCAAGCTCCTCCAATAGCATCTTCAACCAAATTGCTTCTTTACTGGCTTGTGTAGCTGCTACATATTCTGCCTCTGTTGTGGATGTAGCCACAACTGACTAAAATTTTGAAACCCAGCTTACAGCTCCACCAGCAACTTTGAACACATATCCTGTAGTAGATTTACTTTTATCCAAATCCCCTGCATAGTCAGAATCGACATACCCATTTATAAGTAAGTTTGATCCTCCGTAACATAATGCAATATTTGAGGTCCCTTTGATGTATCTTAGGATCCTCTTTACAATATTCCAATGCTCTTTGCCTGGATTCGCCATGTACCGACTAACCACTCCCATTGCTTGTGCAATGTCTAGTCTTGTGCATATCATAGCGAACATTAAACTTCCCACTGCTGATGCATACGGTACTCGAGACATCTCCATCCTCTCTTCTTCACTGCTAGGACTCATACTGGAGGATAATTTGAAGTTAATAGGAAGAGGGGTAGAAATTGGTTTACAATCTTGCATGCTAAATCGTGACAAGATTTTCTTTAAGTAATTCTTTTGTGAAAGCCAAATCTTCCTATTACTTCTTTCTCGGTGAATTTGCATCCCTAGAATCTTGTTTGTTGATCCCAAGTCCTTCATTTGAAATTCCCTAGCCAGTTGTGCCTTCAATTCTTCGATATGATCTTTGTTGGGTCCTGCAACCAACATGTCATCCACATACAACAGCAATATAACAAAATCGTTATCACCAGACCTCTTGAAATAAGCACAAGGGTCAGCATTAAGTCTGTTGTATCCAAGGCACATAATGAAGGAATCAAATCTCTTATACCAACACCTCGGCGCCTGCTTAGACCGTACAGAGATTTGTTCAACATGCAAACCAATTTCTTCTTTTCGTCTTCTTCAAAACCTTCAGGCTGGAGCATATAAATCTCTTCTTCAAGATTTCCATGAAGAAAAGCTGTTTTAACATCTAGTTGCTCTAGATGTAAGTTCAATGTAGCACACATTGCTAAAACTACTCGAACTGTTATTAGTCGAACCACAGGAGAAAATATTTCATTGAAATCAATACCTTCCTTTTGAGCATATCCTTTGACCACCAGTCTTGCACGATACCTCTCAACTTGATCGTCACCATTTCGCTTGATTTTGAAGACCCATTTGTTACCAATTGGCTTCCTTCCTTGTGGTAGTGGCACAAGGTCCCATGTATTATTTTTATGAAGGGCTTCGATTTCTTCTTGCATTGCCATCATCCACAGTGAAGCATCTGAGCTGTTTATTACCTCCTGGTATGTTGATGGCTCACCGTCCTCTGTTAAAAGGCAGTATGCAATATTACCTTCTATAACATAATCTGAGTGCCAATTGGGACGTATTCTCACACGATCTGATTGACGAGTTGTTGGAGCTTCAGAACTCTCTGGTTTTTGTTCATCATGTGTTGGTTCTGCTTCATAAGAATCTCCTTGTTCAAACTCTTTTTCCACATGTATCTGCGTAGTCTCTGACTTTTCAGCGCTACCATCTTCTTCTTTTCTTTGTAGCTTATCTTCTACAAAGATAACATCCCTGCTGATGATCACTTTGCGGGCAGTGGGATCCCACAAGCGATACCCCTTGACTCATCAGCATATCCCAAGAATTTGCATTTCATGGATTTTGGATCCAGCTTTGAGATTTCTTGGGAGTTGTACATCACGTACACAATACTTCCAAATATATGGAGGTTTGAATAATCAGCTGGTTTACCAGTCCACATCTCCATTGGTGTCTTCAGCTCTATTGCAGTTGATAGAGCTCGATTCACCAAATAACAAGCGGTATTGACTGCTTCTGCCCAGAATGATTTTTCTAGGCCTGCATCCCTCAACATTGCTCTTGTTCTTTCTAACAAGGTTCTGTTCATCCGCTCTGCCACTCCATTTTGTTGAGGAGTGTTTGCCACTGTAAACTGTCTTTTGATGCATTCTTTCCTGCAAAAGTCATCAAATTCTTCACTTGTGTATTCTCATCCATTATCTGTTCTGAAACACTTATTCTATTTCCAGAATCAAGTTCCACCCGCGCTTTGAAGTTTTTGAAAGTTGAAAACACATCGGACTTCTTCTTAATAGGGTACACCCAACATCTCCTGGAGTAGTCATCAATAAATGAGACAAAATATTTTGCTCCGCCTAGGGATGTAACTGGTGCTTTCCATACGTCAGAGTGAACCAGTTCTAGAACACTTTTGCCTCTAGAATTTGATGTGTTGAATTTCAACCGGTGCTGCTTACTTGTTATGCAATGCTCACATAAAGTAAGTGATACCTTTGTTAAGCCTGGAAGTAGCTTTTGCTCCACAAGGAATTTCATTCCTTGTTCTGACATGTGTCCAAGTTTCTTATGTCATAACATTGCAGAATCTGAACAACATGAGGCAACAGAGGCTTATGCTTCTAGCAATGTCTCTCCCTTCAGCATGTACAAGTTTGCAGCTATCTTTTCACTTTTCAGCACCACAAGCGCTCCACTGAACACCTTCATGATTCCTTTCCGTGTTTCAATCTTGCTAGCATTATTATCCAACAATCCGTAGGATAATAAATTTTTCTTCAGACATTTCACGTGCCGCATATCTCGAACAACTTTAATTGTTCCATCATACATCTTCAATTTGATGGTTCCCACGCCAACGATCTCTAAGGCATGATTATTGCAACTATACCAGATCCTCCTGAGACAAGTTCATAATGATGAACCATTCTCTTCTTGAGGTCATATGATATGTTGCTCCCGAATCAATGAGCCATATATCTGCAAATCCTTTTCTTCCTTCCACGGTGGTTGACGCTTCACAGCATAAGCATCTCCATCATCTGAAGTGTTTGCGGTATTGCCTTGTGGATTGAAGTTTTTATTTAGACTCCAACAATCCTTCTTCAAGTGACCCTTCTTTCCACAGTTGTAACACTTTAAATTCTTCTTGCTTCTCGACTTCGATCTACCATGTTTGTGACTGCTGCTTTGGCCACGTTCTGTTGATCTCCCTCTCATCGTTGTCATCGTTGTCAACGCTTCTGCTTGTTGCAGATTTACTTGTCTGTCTTCCTTGTTCTTGTGCCAATTTTCTTCTTGTAGAACAGCAGCTGCAACGTCATCGAAGACTAGACTGGTGACATTACTATTTGTCAAGTTGATGATGAGTTGATCATATGAATCCAGTAGACTTTGAAGTAGAAGTTCAGCACGTTCTTTTTCTCCTATTTTACAGCTTAAGGATGTAAGCTTAGAAAATAAAGTGTTCAGTGTATTTAAGTGCTCCGTCACTGAAGTAGATTCTGACATACGGAGAGTGTACAATTTTCTCTTAAGGAAAATTTTATTGTGCAACGATGTGGCCTCGTACAGTTTGGTGAGATGATCTCATATCTCCTTAGCTGTCTTCTTCTCCTCTATACTTGATAATACTTCATCTGCTAATGCTAGATGAAAGTTTGCCATAACATTTCCGTCCATTTCGATCCATTTGTTGTCGTCTGTGAAATCTACTGGCCTTTCGCTGATAGCTGCTAGACAACCGTCTTTCCTCAGGATAGCATTCATCTTCAATTTCCACAATGAGAAATTTCTCCCATTGAATTTTTCAATATCAAATTTTGTTGCCATAGCTTCTATTATTGATAGCTCCCACTATTTCACTATCGTGAATAGTTCTATAGAATCTCAAAGAATGGGTAATACCTTCTTATTTTCTTATGTTGGAGGATCCACCTTTTGGTGGCAACCACAAAGACAATAAGCAGATATTACACACTCAAATCTGACTCTGATACCAATTGTTGCGGAAGACGGCTATCAGATAGAGCAAAATCGCAACTGATAATTTGAGAAAATAAAAATGAAGATAAAAGAGACACAAAATTTACGTGGAAAACCCCTGAATAATATAGGGTAAAAACCACGGGCAACGGTAGAAGAATTTCACTATGAGAAAATAAGAATTACAACCTCTTTCGATCTACCAAGGAGAAAACAATGATAATTCTCTCTAGATAAAAATGAGAAAACAACTCTCAAGAAACTCTCTAAAATCTCTCTAGTATTGGAAGAAAGCTAGAATGCTTTGGGATGGTTTTGAAGCTAAATAAGCTAGGGTATTTATAGTTGAAGCTTTAAGGACTAATTTATAAATATCCTAAATTACAATGGCTAAAATTAAGGTTCTACCATTTCCAAAATTCAGCAATAGTTGCTGCCCTTTTTTCCAAGCAGCACCGAAAGTTGCATTTATTATGCACACTTTCGGTGCATAGTCAACACCAATCACCGAGCAGTGTGTTGTAATTAATTACAAAACTCACCATTCTTTGAACACTCCCATCATGAGGAGGAGGTGGACTCTGCCTCTGTAATCCACCTGAACAAATAGTTCCCAGAAAATTTCAGCTGTACCATTGATCACCCTCCTAATGAGATCTCTCTTGTCAAGTTTTGGTTTGGATATCGGTTGAAATCCAATCTCAATTTGTTTAGTGATGCAAATATATCCAATAACTTACGAAGCTTAATAGGATCTTTCTTACTTTCTGCAACAGTCTTTCCAAACTGAAGAAAAGCATGAATATTACCTTGAGAAGCTATTTTCGAGAAGATTTCCATCCAAAACCATCCATACCAATCCTTTCAAAAACATCATTTTGAACTCAGCCACAAACAAATGCTTTACAGCAAACTTCAAATGGTTTTCTCGTTGTCCAATATATTCTTCTGTGCTCAGCACATCATTAACTTCCAAGACTGAGATCTCAAATCAATTTCCAGTAAAGTAGTTCTAACGTTTGAGTTGCCAACTTCAACCCGATGCACTTCTCGAGTCTGTTGTTTGCAACTTTGTGAATAACAGTCACAGATAGAGAGGATGGCGCAATGCCTGCTTGTCACGTCCCCGATAAAAAACGTCTTTTAAAAAACATTATCAACTTAAAACGTTTTTGTAATATATTTAAAATTAATAAAAAAATAGATGTTATTTTAATAATTAAATAATATATATTTCAGCAAGAAGGCCTTGGTATAGCTCATTTTTTGGTTAAAAACAGAATACATGATACAAATTAAACACTAAATTATCTCACTCTATGTAGGGGGAGTGCTGGATCGACTTGAGTTAAAAAAATTTGAATTATTCGAGTCGATGAGTCCTATTTTACAATTCGGAATTGACTTAAAAAAATTTCAAGTTGAGACGAGTCGATTTTTCGAGCTTTTGTTTAAATTTAATAGTAAATATTTATATTATTTAATTTCAATTTAAGCAACTTTCGATAACCATATATACAATACAAATATATTTCTTTATATTTTTTTCATATGTGATATACATATATATATCATACAAAGTCTAATGACTTAACTCAAACATAAAAAAAATCCATTAATTACTAAAAATTCAAGTTATTCGAGTTATATTTTATAACTCAACTTAAATTTAAAAAATTTTCAAGTTAAATCGAGTCGAATAATTCAATATTTCGAGTCAAATTTTGCTGACATTAACTCTCATAAAAAAAAGGGTGTATGATAGAAACCATTCTTCATAAATAAGTTTACCACGACTCATTTTGGTTAGAGCATCTTTAAACAATAAGGCTTTTACTGAAAAAGCCGAATGCAACTGAAGCTTCAAAAAGTTGACCAACTCCAATTCAGTCACCGATTTGAAGGAGCAGCTGAATTGACTACACTGCTTTGTTTTTATATTTATTGTACCCCACGTTCATCAAAATCTGAAATGTTATATCTTACAATTATTATGGTATTATTAATATCATCACCACCCAAAAACGTAATCAATAAACAAATAATTTAATTTTAACTTCACTTCTAAGGATTGATTCCCACAATCTCAACTAGTCTACTCTTTTCGTCTGGAGAAAAGAAAAAAAAATTTACATCCACCCCCAAAATATTACAAAAAAGTCATACTTCCTTGAAGAATTTATTATTTGGCTAATCAAGCTGACTTGAAGACCAGTTCCACACCAGGGGCCATATTCTCCTGCGCCGCGGGTTGAGAGTGGCGGTGCTCCCCTTCGTAAGTAACGATCAACATAGACGGATCATCCGTGGCTCGCTCCACGTGTTTCCTCGCGGGGCACCCTCTGATGGTACTGCACTTGTAATATCCCCTGTTATGCACAAAACAAGTCAACGCTCACATTTTTTCCCTTTGATACGTCAGCCGATAAAAGAGATTCACAGGACCACAGTAGTTACCGTGGGTATGGCGACCCCTTGATCGGCTTTTGCCCGTATTTCCTCCATGAATACTCGTCGGCTGGAATATCGGCGATCTTAGCACTGATCGCTGGTACTCTGATTACCTTTTTCACCCTTTTTTTCCTGAAATATTAAACCAAATACCAAGTCACCAACAATTTTTATGACTCCAGCTAAACTTGGGACGTTTTATTTATCTTGACCCGGCCGATTCCAACGCAACTCTGCTCACTAGTCTTCTTTGATTAACAAACTATTTAAGTTTTCAAATTCAAAAAGAAATCGACAGCTACCTAGTAAATCCGCCCTAGGATTTTTTTTAAAAGCTCGTTCGTTTTATTACCTTCTCTTTGAGGAGCAGAGGCACTTGCCGCCGCCGGAGACGTTATCTGATTTCTCATGTTCATGGCACCTCTTCTTGAACGGAACCGAGGATAGTGGTGGTTTTCCAGCTGAAACGGCCGGCGCTGGCGTTGAGAATAGAGATGAACCTTGCTTCCAGTTTGAAACGCTGCCGTCCCCGGTGATGGCAGAAGACATAAATGATGAGTTGGAGGACACGCTGAAATTTTCCTTCGTAAACTCAAACTCTGTACTTTTAGATTTGGAGCTAAACAAACTAGGTTTTGTAAAGTCGAGAGTCAAACTCAGCGGCTGCGAAGGAACGAAACTAGGAGTTACACTTGTGGCTTCGACCGGAGCCGGAGCTCGAATCAAAGACTTTTGGGAATTAGCATCAGTTAGAGAAGCAGAGGATGAGGACGGGGAGGAAAAGGAAGAGGACTGAACAGGTCCACGTCTGAATCGGGCGTGACCGTTTCTGTTGATTAGAGAGATGACCTTCTTGAACTTGGAGACGGCGATGTCGGCAACGTCGGCGCAGTCGGCGCGGTTTGACTGTTGAGAAAGGAGGGTGATGAGGTGCTCCATGCTCTTCACGCCCTGCGATGCAGCCTCTTGTATGGCTGTTTGATCATCTATCTTTGGTAAACTCATCAGATCCACCGTCATTTTCAAAGAAACACCGACGAAAAGCAAGAAAACTAAAGCAGTAGTCGAGAGGTCAACAAATCATAGAAGCATGGGGAGAATAGAAGTGTTGAAAGGTGAAGGCGGGAAAGGGGAGGGGGTTGATATAAGGGATAGGGCAGGCTGAGGGATGACCAGGTGACCGGGTAAAAAGGATAAATCTGATGGCTGAGATTGATTTGAAATTTTCAACGGTTGAATAAAGAAATGGGTGCGGTGGATGGGAGCCAGCGCATAGAGAGAATAATAGGTAAGATCTGGGGTTTTGATTTGAATAAACCTATCAACAACGTTGACTAGGCTTTTAACAAAAATAAACAATTCGCTGTTAGAAAGGATCAAAGTCAAAGTAACACAGTAGCGGTTCAAACTTGGTTAGGATTTCATGTAATTTTTTAGTGGACGATTTCGTTTTACATTTTTAACGCATACTTTTTTAGGCACGGTGAATCTTCATTTGTTCAAATCTTTTCGCTTTAATGCTATTTTCTACAATTTTAACTCTTCACATAATCAATTCAAATCAACTACTGCAAAAGACTTTCTAAATAAATATTCATAGTAAATGATTCCTTCAACGGAGATATTGGTGTTAATGATTTATATTGGAGTAATTACTGTAGTAAAAGATGCCCTTGGCTTTGAAGTTTATAGGAAACCGACATGCACAGTAAAAGATGGAAACGAAAGCTGACTAAAGTGGAGTCATTTCCTTTTTTTTAATCCAAAACTGTTGACCAGTCTTTTTCTTTGTAACCGAGTGACACCGGTTATTCTTCTCTAAACTGTCCAATTAACCCTCGCTAATCTAACGGTTGTTTAACGCATCAAAGAGTAAGACGTTCAGTTTTTAATTTTTCTAGAACCTCCAAGTGCGACGGCTATTGAATCCGAAAACGTGGCAGTTTAATAATGATTCGTCTTAATGAGGGTTTTAAAGTCAATTCAACTGCTATTTAATTACAAGCACCTAAGTCGTAAAAAGATTATTATTATTCGTTGAGTTTCCAGGATTGAATATTAAAAAATTTATGGGTACGGATTTTTAATATTAAATTATTGAAAATTACTTTAGATAGATATTATATTTATCCAAATTAATAAAAAAAGTAGAATAATTATTTGAATAAGTGAATTGGATCTAGTTCAATTAGTAGTATGTGTTGAATAATGCTATTGGATTAAATTGTATTAATTCAATAAGTTATAATAAGATTTTAAGCTCAATTGATGGGTTGCTAGTCGGTTTATAACAGATTCTGTTTGATAGTTACTTTGTCAAATATAAAATTTATTTCAAGCCAATGTATTGTAAGCATTTCAGTTATATGAAATTTAATAAAATGTGAAAGCCGAATTGTTGTTTAGTTTCTTGTGCCTCCTCTGTCTTCTTGCATTGTTTGCTTCTTCTGTCCTGATGTTGTATTAGATTCCTGGTATCGACGTTCATGGAAAGTCCTAGATCGTCTGTTGGTGCTGATGCATCCTCTCGAATAAATGAATTAATGTGTAGTTGGATGAAACCAATTTAAACAAGTCATTTTGACAGTTGGTGGACTTGGATTGGAAGAATTGTATGATCTTGATATGCCTAAACCTGATAAGCTCACTCGAAATATGAACGATGATCATGTGTGTAATCTTGAGTATTCTTGGTTTGTCAAACAAAACAGTTGATTGACCACATGGCTGCTTTCAACAGTAAGTGCTGATCTTCTACCATGGTTGGCCAGTGTTGTTTATGGTCTATACTCCACTAGGAAAGTGATGTATTATCATTGTAAGTTAGGAGCAACATCTCACGATTAAGATGAATGAGGTTTGAGATTTACTTGTAATGACTGGACATGGTGTTTTTTGAGTTTGAACACATTGCTACAGTCCAGAATTTGATTCGTTTGTGGCTATTAGAACAGCAAGTCAGGAACCACATCGTTTAGAAAGTGTAATTTTTGTTATCGTGGATGTAGAGTCACGGATCATGTATCCAGTTCCAACACCAGTTGGGATCAATCCGTCTCAATACCATAAAATGCAGCAGCCACTACTCAAACGGTCTTCCAATAGACAACGACGAAGCAGAGATGGCTCCAGTCAGGTTTCCAACGATGAAAGATCAGTCACATGGTGTTGGCGTGGAACACTACAAGGATGCTTGTATGGATTTTCTAAAACAACAATTGTTTCAACATATGATGCTTCGATATATGAAGATGCAACATCTTACTGATTGTGGCATCGACTGTTAGATCATCCCTATGCTAAATAAAATAGTTAGAGTAGACAATAATGTTGTATGTAAAGTATGTCAAATGGGCAAAGCTGCCTTGCCATTTCAATTGTCTACAATGATGTACAATATTTCGATTGAGCTATCAGAAGTTACTGCTCCAATTTGTTATTCTGCTTTTATGTAATATTTCTCTATGTATAGTAAAATGTGTTGGATGTACTTTATGAGGAATATATAAGCATGAAGTGACAGCGGTGTTTAACATGTTTTATTGCTTTGTGCATGATTATTTCTCTTTTACTGTTAAAGCAGTTGAAGCAGATGAAGGGGGTGAGTTCCGCTCTATACAACATAAATTAACTGGGCATACAACATCGTGTAACAATCCTTCATACATCCTAATAAAATGGGGTTGTCAAAAGAAAGCTTCCTTAAATAATTGAGCCCGTGTTTTGTTTGCTTGGTCATACATCTATGCCAATCAAATACTACTCATAAGCTATGTTGAGTACGAAATATGTCATCCATCGACTACCATCAAAAATCTTAAACGATGTTACCTTTACAAAAGTTGACCAGGATGCAACATCTTTTCTTCAAGTTAAAAATTTTCCTGTGACAGTATATCTTCTTAAGTTATTCACCTAAGCAATGCACCTACCGATATCTTAATTTGAGGGGTCAAATAACATAATTCATCCTACTTCTCAGAATAATCTCCCTTTAACTTTATTTTAAAACAAAATCCCAATTTTTCACTGAATGAGCAGCACGCTTTCAACCCAAACAAAAAGTTGTAATTTATTTTATTGGATTACATAACATTATTTGATTCTTGTTAACTATGTTATGGTCAACAAAAAAATATATCCCCGAATGCTTTTTGTTTAAATATTTAATAATGCAGCTGTGGTTTAATACCAACATTATTACTAATAAATAAATCAAATACATTTGTCAAGTAGTTCCATTTTCCATCTCCAAATAAATTAATAAAATGACAGATAGAGATACCATCTCAAATGAAATAGATTAACATTTTAAAGTATGGTCGGGATAAGGATTTGGATGGGAGAATGAGTGGGATTGGGTTAGTTGAGCGAGGCCAGGAGGGTTTATTGTAATGGCTAATGCGACAACCTGCCAGTCTGAGGGCCTTGGCATTGGGCTCAGTTAGCAGCTCTTGTATTGTTTCTTACCAGCAGGTTACCCGGTCGAAGATTAGAAAGAAGTGATGTTTTTTTCCTTTGTAAAACGTAGTTCATTGTTTAGAAGGAAAAAAAATACGACAAAAGAAAAACAACAACAACAACAAAAGAGAACAGAACCGTAAAGAATCAACAAATAAACTGAGCTGGATGAGTTTTAAAGTTGGAGAAACTCTCAACACAAAAAGGACAAGACCTTCACTTTTGATAAATTAACCATGGTGATGGGATCAAAGAAATTCATCGAAAGTCGAGGAAACAACACTCGTAAACACCATAGAGCAAGAGCAACCAGCTTCGGTTCTTCAACAAGACCATACCTGCCATAGATACTCAATACACTGATGAAAGAAAGGAGCGAGGAATGAGCATCGGTTGATGGAAAGACACACCAACTAAGGATACCAACCCATCGAATTTGAAAATAATAAAAATAAATAAAATAAAAACCAAAACCCTTTCATTTGACTCTTGGATAACTTATATGAGAGACGAAAACACAAATTCATCACATAAAATGATTCTTGATAAGAAATTAATTATTATTAGAGCAAAGAGTTTTTAAACGAATGAATTAATTATTTTTTAAAATAATTAAAAATTTAGTGAGAAAAGTGATTATAGAGTAATATCTATTCTAAATACTCTCAATCATTTGACGATGAATGTCCAATCACCCTGCTGCAGTCTTTGGTGTTTGAACATATGATCTCTAGGAAGAAAAATGATTCCTTTAGCCACTTAGAAAAATTGATTCATGCTATCAATTGAAAGATAAGATGGAGGAAATAAGACATCTTAAATGCAAAAGAAGAAGAAGTAAGAAAGAAGAAAAAAAGGAAAATAGTTTTAAATAGGGGTGTTCATTTTTTGGTTTTAACCGAATTAATCGATCAAACCGAATTAGTTCGGTTAATTCGATCGGTCACCGAATTAGTTCGGTCGGGAAACTGTTAATAAATTTTTTAGAATTCGATTAATGGTTAATTCGGTTCGAAATCGGTTAATGGTTAATTCGGTTTGAAATCGGTTAATTAACCTAATTAACCGAAATTAAATTTTAAATATTATATATAACATATGGACTCAACCCAAACCATTTAAAACTCGATTAATAATTTAAGATTCAATAATTTTTTTTTTGGTAAGAAAATGAAAACTACCTAATTACTTAAACCTAATTGCATTCTTCAATCACGAGTTGGCTTATATCAGCAGGAGGCTCCTGTAAGATTCTGGTTTGGCTATCTTCGAAATTGACGCTTCTTGCTAGTTTATCAGCAATTTTATTCCCTTTCTTCGGACATGTTGCAATCTGACGTTCCAATCCCGGTTTATCAGTTCCCTTATGTACGGTATTATGGTAATATTTCCTTCTTTGTTTGTGCTATTCTTCAGTGTTTGTATTGCTTCGAGGCTATCTACTTCAACTATGAGTTGTTGGATTCCTTGTTCCCATGCACATCTTAGCCCTGTATATACTCCCCATAATTCTGCTTCCATTGTAGAACATATTCCTATGAATTTTTTGAAGCCGATCCTCCATTTTCCATTCAAATCTCTGATTACTCCTCCACATGCTGCTTTTCCATCTGTATTTCTACGGGTTGCATCTGT